GTTGCGTGGAGCTGGCCAGGGCCCTCCTTGAGGATGGCATGAACACTGATTTGCTCTGACATCGGTGCTGATGACTGCATTGAACAGCTGCTGTCTTACTTTGCATTCCTTTTCAAATTCGCATTTCTTTTCAAATAGTGCTGGCAATATTTCTTTGCCCGAGTCGGGTTTGTTGTGTGTATTTAGATGCTGGTCTCCTCGTGGGTCTGAGTTACTGCTTCCCCACGCTGCCCTCAGCGTGCACGTAGTAACCTGTTTTTCTTTTTCTCTAGACCAATGAGGCAAGCTCAGAGTCGATAGCCTCCTTCTCTAAGCAAGAGATCATGAGCAGCTTTCTGCCAGAGGGAGGGTGTTACGAACTGCTCACCATCATAGGTAATGATGACCCTGCTCCTCGGCGTTCCTAGACCAGCGAGCGCCAGGGGGCACAGCTAGATAGGGACTCTCAGATCAGCTTCTGCCGAGTGTGGAAGAGATGAGGTCCTTTTGAAGCCCTCGCTCAGGGACCCTCGGTCCCTCCAGTGACTGCAGCAGTTAGAATGGTTGGAAAATAATAGGAGGAGATGTTCTGGTTTTTATTAGTTTTTGACGGACTCTCTTTTCCTTTAAGGCAGAGGAGGAAAACCTGGGATGCTGTCGTTCTTGTTTAAGGAATTGCTTTTGCCTTTCAGGCAAAGGATTCGAGGACCTGATGACAGTGAACCTGGCGAGGTACAAGCCATCGGGAGAGTATGTGACGGTGCGGAGGATTAATCTAGAAGCTTGTTCCAATGAGATGGTGACCTTCTTGCAGGTAACAAGACTGGACATTGCGTCTGGTGGTAATTACAGGGCAGCCCACTGCCCACCCTCCAAACGAACCTGGCAGGAAGTAGGAAGGCCACATGTTTAGCCCTCGTGGAAGCTTGCAGTAGAGAACCTTGGGAATTTGGTCCGCAAGATTCTTTAATGCTGGTCAGTGAACCCGCATTCCTCTCTCCTTGTCCAAAGCAGCCATGGTGGGGCATGGATTCATTTATACCAAGCACCTGCTGCAGTCGACTCCATTCCAACACATCTTACTCACTGCCATCGAGTCAATGGGGACTCAGGGTAGAACCGCCCCTGTGGGTTTCTGAGACTATAACTCGACAGGAGTAGAAAGCCCCGTCTTTCTCCCTTCCCACACACATGACCCGATAAGGACAGGAGGCTTAGGCTGTAATTGTTAAGGAAGCAGACTGCCACCTCTCTTCTGTGGAGTGTCTGGTGGGCTCAAACCACCAACCTTTCGATTACCGTCAGGTGCTTAACTATGGAGCCACCAATATGCCTTTTATACATTCTTGCTCCATTTATTATTCCTTGCAGTCAGCATGAACAGAGTGCCTCCTGTAAGCTAAATACTGTTTTACATGCTTTACAGCATTTAAACGAACTCACTTAAGTCCCGTTCCAGCTGATGATCTAGGTGGTTAACATCATCCTCATTTTATAGTGCAGGAGGAGGCAAAGTGAGGCTAGAGGGCACTTGCTTGGGCTACTGTAGGGCTCTGAGCACCCCGCAAACACTAAGTTACCTGTGACTCAGGCCCTCCCTTTATGAGGAGTCCCCTTCTTCATGGCTCCTTGGCTCTGACCAGCTTGATCTTTGCTTTCAGGGGGAGCTCCACGTCTCGAAGCTCTTCAACCATCCCAATATTGTGCCCTATCGAGCCACCTTCATTGCCGACAACGAGCTGTGGGCCGTCACGTCTTTCATGGCTTATGGTAAGTGGGAAAGCGTGACCGAGAAGGCCGCGAAGAACCTGCTTGTCTGATTGCCCGTGTGCTTTTTCCTCCCCCGCCGCCTTTCCTGTCTCTTACAAATTCTTCCTGGTAGGTTCTGCCAAGGATCTCATCTGTACACACTTCATGGACGGCATGAATGAACTGGCCATCGCTTATATCCTGCAGGGGGTGCTGAAGGCCCTAGACTACATCCACCACATGGGCTATGTACACAGGTACGGCCCCAGGCTCGCCCAAGGCTAGGGCAGGAGTGTGGGCTCCTGACTGACGTGAGGGAAGCCAGAGATTGAGATCAAGGACCGACAGGGTCTGGCCTGGCCTGACTTGGTGGAGAGGTTATTTAAGGCAGTCTTGCTAGTCAACTACAAAAAAGAACAACAAGCCAACCAAGCGGTGAGTAGGGTCATGAAGCTGATGGAAGAGGAAAGTCAGAGACTAGCAAGCCTCTGAGCAGACACTCAGCCAGGGACCACGCTGCCAGGCCGTCAGCCGCCAGCACAGGTGCCCGTCCTTTCCTCTCTGGGGCGCTTTCAACGGGGAAAGGTCAGCATCTTGGACGGCTTTCTAGCTCTTGGTAGAGCGCAAGAGCCTGGCACTAATCAGAGAGAAATCAATGGAAACAGCATGTCACTTTACCCCTACGAGACTGGCAAGTTGTCGGAAGTCAGACCTACTGTGCAAAGCAGCCAGGAGATGCAGCCTGGGTGTGCTCAGGTGGCAACACTGACAGGTCCTGAAGGCAGGGTGGCGAGCAAAGAACAGGTTGGGGGCAGAGTGACAGGGTGCCTGCTGCTGGGCATGCTCTAGTCAGTGCCGCAAACACAGACTGGTTGAAAGCCTTACCGGAGTCAGGGGAAGACGTGGTGGTCTGTGAGCCAAAAAGGGAAGTGAACAAGATGCGAAAAAGGTGTTAGATCTGTGCTGGGTAAATGGGGTCTTCTTTCGGAGGGAGGGGTCTGTTGGAATGTTTCATGAAGTCCGTTTGTATGTGCATCCGGTACACGTAATGCTCACGTATACCTGTATCGCATACTCACTGACTGGACCTGGCGTGTGAAGGCTAAAAGTTGGTGGAAAAAAGAAAGAAATTGTGGCGTGGAGCCCTGCTGCCCTGTGACGCCCCTCCCCACCTCCTCAGGAGTGTCAAAGCCAGCCACATCCTGATCTCCGTGGACGGGAAGGTCTACCTGTCCGGTTTACGCAGCAACCTCAGCATGATAAGCCACGGGCAGCGGCAACGGGTGGTCCACGATTTCCCCAAGTACAGTATCAAGGTTCTGCCGTGGCTCAGCCCAGAAGTCCTCCAGCAGGTCTGTGTCCTGGGCCCTAGGGACCCCCACTCCCTCTCAGCTGTGGGCTTTCCCTGAAGCCTGACTGGCCTCAGGCTGGGACGGGCACCGTTGGCCAGGTGGAACCCAGGAGCCACTCAGCGAGGCCGAGCGAGGCCGTCACCTGCCTGTTGCAGGGGGACAGCTTCCCGCCTCTATAGCGTTTCCACATGCCTGCTGCTGTTGTCACTCCCTTCAGAGGGTCTGCCTGCCCACTGGAAGGGCTGTCCACATCTCTGGACTGAGCAGGAGGAGAGGGGGGCACCCAAGCATGCCCTGCTGCTTGTTAACGCAACAGCATCAACTGTGTGTTTCTTTCAAAGCCAGAGCTACTCTTCCATAGGAAGCAAAGCAGGCCCGCCTTTAGCAGCTGCTGCTGATTTGGGGACGCATTCTTTCCTAGCCTCAGCCTTTGCTCCACCCCCTTCTTTTTCTCAGAACAAAGGCCAAATGGAGTCATCTGTGGTTTTTCCTCATTTAGAATCTTCAGGGTTATGATGCCAAGTCCGACATCTACAGTGTGGGGATTACAGCCTGTGAACTGGCCAATGGCCATGTGCCCTTCAAGGATATGCCTGCCACCCAGGTGAGCCTGCAGCTCAGTGGCTGCCTGCCTACCTGCCTGTCACAGACGTCTGTGGAGGGCCCCGTTTCTGACCAGGGCTGCTTAGGAGGGTCGTGGGGACACCCAGGGGGCCAGGCTTACCAAAGGCAGCTGCTTTCAGCTGCGTGCAGTTGGGGACTTTGCAACATCCTCCCAGGCTTGGCCTGTTCTGGGGCACCTCACTCCTCTGCCGCCTGCTGCCCGGCACCCTCTGGCAGGGGCTTACTTAGGGGAGGAGCCTATCGGAAAGGGCAAACCCTCTCCTCCTCCTCCTCTCTGATGTTTCCGATGGCCGCTAGCCGACCTTTGGAAAAGTTAGACTCACTCCATCTTCTCTTTCTCTCTGTCCCCCGAAGCCCCTATGTGTGGAGGGGAGACGTGTTTGTGAAGCAGCACTCTAGGCCCTCCAGGCCCCTTCCAGCTCGGCCGGCTTTGTCCTCCCCAGATGCTGCTGGAGAAACTGAACGGCACCGTACCCTGCCTGCTGGACACCAGCACGATCCCCGCCGAGGAGCTGACCATGAGCGCCTCGCGCTCCGCCGCCAACTCGGGCCTGAGTGAGAGCCTGGCCCCCAGCACCCCCAGGACCTCCAATGGCGATTCACCTTCCCACCCCTACCACCGCACCTTTTCGCCCCACTTCCACCACTTCGTGGAGCAGTGCCTCCAGCGCAGCCCGGATGTCAGGTGCTCTGAGGGGCTGGGCTCGGGCACGCCAGGGAGCTGAGGGTGCTGTGGCACCAGTCAGGCCGCGAGGGCCTGGGCTCCCACAGGGTGGGCTAAGGAGCCAGAATGGGCAGCACTGCCTGTCATGTCCTGGTGAGCTGGGGGCTGTTGGGAGGCTCGGGGCTTCTGTGGCCCGGGTGCGATCTGGTCTCTTCTTTCTCTCTAGGCCAAGTGCCGGCACCCTCCTCAACCATTCTTTCTTCAAGCAGGTACAGTAGCGCGTGCCTCCACTGCTGGTCCCTCCTGGCCTGTCCATTGATTGCGTGGTCTTTAGTTCCTCCTCCTCTTGAATCAGAGGAAAGGACAGTCCCTGAAGCCCCTGCAGGGCATTGCTCTCTCTTCAGAGGGACTCTGAGCCCCAACAGCCCTCTGGTGCCCTGGGGCCCACCACCCACCCTCCTCTCTTCCCCCAGATCAAGCGGCGTGCCTCAGAGGCCTTGCCCGAGTTACTCCGTCCCGTCACCCCCATCACCAGTTTCGAGGGTAGCCAGGCTCAGGATCACAGTGGAATCTTTGGCCTTGTGACAAAACTGGAAGAACTGGAGGTGGACGACTGGGAATTCTGAGCCCCTGTGGACAGTGCACGTTCTCCATCCCAGACCCGGGGCCTGCAGGGGCCTCTCCTGAGGGTTGGCCCCACGCCCACCCTCCTGGATGCAGGCTGGGCACAAAGACAACGTCTGCCAGGAGAGCTGGCTGCTTTCTGATGGGAACGAAATTCCTGGAAAGAGACTGCTTCATTGCTCCAAGGCCTGGAGACTCACGGGACCACCCAGGGCTGAGGTGGGAGGGCAGGGGAGGTGATGGAGTGCTGACACCCCCGCCTGCCCTTAGAGATGCTGCTGCTCTGCTCTCGGGCGGAACCCAAGCCCAGGCTTGCACTCTGCAGCCCAGGGCACTCTGGGACGGCCTCCTCCCATCTCTTGTTCTCCCAGCAGCCTAATTCCACAGTGGTCTGTGCCAGCACACCTTGCCCCTTCCCCACACTTCATCTACTGGAGGTGGAAGAAAGGGCATTTCCCCCTTCCTGGTGCCACGGTAAGGCTTGAGGGCTCACGTCCTTATGCTGTGTGTTCGGTTTAATGTCAGAACAAATTAAAATTTCCAGTGAAATCCGGTAGAGTGCTGGTGTCTGCGTCCACTCAGGCCCTCCAGCCCTGCGTGCCAGTGCATGGACAAGGACCGCCCACCGGGTCACTCACCAGTTGCTACGCCGTGATTGTGAGGACATAGGAGTTCCTCCTTCTCCCACAAGCTCGTCTCTCTCACAACACGCCTGCATTTTGTTTTTCAAACCCCATGATCGATTTGCCTCCTAACTGCCAGCATTACGTTCCGACCACCAAACTGCGTTGGGGCTGAGAGGCCTGGGTGCTGGAGCCCAGCCTCTCCACGGGCCCACTGGGTCACTAGGGGTTTAGGCAGAAGACTCCTTTTGGGCGGGAAGGGGAGCAGAGGGTTTGTAATAGGAGTTGTGGTGTCTTGTTACTGTTGGTACTAATCCCCCAGAGCAAGTAACCTGAGAACCAGACCTGTCCCCTTCCCTCCCGCCTGTCTTCCTGGCCCAGGGCCTTGGGGTGCCTGTCTGAGCCTAGATGTGCATCTGCCAGGGCCTGAGTCCAACCATGGTCTCAGTCCTCCTTGGTACCCCACAGGGCTGTGCCCATGTGGCACATTTGCTCCGGGTGAGGGTGAGTGGCCTCTTAAATGCACATCAAGGAAGTGCCCCTCCTCTTCCTTGACGCTGCTTTGAACCCTCAAAGGCCCTCACTTTCTCTCTTTCCTCAGAAATTTCAGAACCAGTTTAAAAACAACCTCTTGGCAATTACAGGGGCTGAGGGGCAGGGCAGGGTACCAACCCTGGTGGGTGGTGGGTGGTGGGTGGCAGTGAGTAGGGCCCTCAGGTCACATTTCTCTGACCCCTCCTTCCCCCTGCTGAGTTCATCTGTGTGCGTTTGAACCTCAAGTTCCCCTTGCTTAACGCCTGCCTCAGTCCATTTCCTTTCCTGCTGCCTCCATTCTCCACACCCACCCGCCGGTCCTCCTGGTGGCTCCTGGGCAGAGTCCGCTCATGCCAGCCCAGACGCCTCCGGCCTCCCAACAGCCTCTGCAGCCTTTGAGACTGATCACAGGGCTGGCTGGAGACTCCTCAGAAAAGGGCACACACACCCCAGGCAGAGTGCCTCAGGCCCACAGCTCCAGAGAGCATCATCAGACTAAGAAAACTGTGGGCAGGGGTGCAGAGTGAGTCAAGGAAACAGTTGGCTGAGGAAGAAGCCTGCTGCCCCCCTCCCCCTCCCCTGCCAGGCTGGCAAATGGAGTCACTGAGCTGTTCTGTTCCCTGACAAGTGTGTGGGCTGGGGCTCTGGAGCCACCAGTTCTATTCCTGCCAGTGTGGGAACAAGCTATATTTAGGGCTGTGCTTCATGAAACCGCTTCAGCTTGACTTCAGGGAAAAGTAGCAGTGGCATGGGCCCAGGAAGCCACTGCCTGGTCTCCCCAGCACAGCCGCGCTCCACTGCCCATCAGGGACCAGGCTTGTGGGGTAGTGGAGTCAACAGCCAACAGAACTGAGGGTCTGGGGGATAGAGAGCCACTAGGGGGGACACCTGGCTTCTTACCCAGCCTACCTGCCTAGGCATAGCTTTTAGTACCTTCAAGTCACTTCTCATTTCCTGGCCTCTGACTGTCAAATGAGCTTTGGGTGCTCTGGGATTTGCTTATTGAAAGATGGAAATCTCTTTCCCTGAAGGTAGTGCCCTCAGCGGAGCTGGAGAGAACCAAGCTCAGGGGCAAGGGTGCTGCTCCGAGGCCTCTTGTCTAAGGTGGGGGGGGGAGCCCCCCGATGTCCATGCAGACCTGCCCCTAGGAGGGCGACATACAAGGGATCTCCCGGCCAGCCTCCCTCCCTCTTACTGTCCAGTGGGCCCACTCTGTGCTGTTCTCATATGGGGGCCCATGAGGGTGTGGCCCCTGGCGGCGGGGCACCCAGTGGGGTCCGTCAGGGTGCCAGGCCTACGCAGGGCAAGGCGGGGACCACTATGCGTCCTGGAGGGTCAGCCAGGAGAAACTGAGGTTAAAGTAGCTCAGCTCGCCCCGCGTCTGCCTCCGCTGCAGGGCTCCCAAGAAGCCTGGTGGTCCTCAAGACCCAGCCGCCTCCAAACGCGGGGCCGGGCCGCCGGTCGGGGCCAGGGGCAGACAAAGGCGGGGGGCCGGGCCGCGAAGACAAAGCGCGGAGG